TTTCTTGTTCAGGGAATATTTTTGTTGCTGCTTTGCTCTTAGAAGGGTGAACAAACCCGGTGAAATTTTGTTTGGGCCTTCAAGAGTGAGCTTTAACAATATCYTCTCACCACATTAAAAAYWWAAAAATCAAAAAGCAAACTATAAAAAAACTCTTTCCCAGTGTATCCCAGTGACATCCCATGGGAATTTTTTGATTTTCCACTTTCCCTTGAGCACCTCTGTGACCCAGTCCAGGTTTGGGGCTCCCAGCATTTTGCCAGGGCTTTGCTGATTTTCCTGGAAGTTTTTTTTCCTCAGGAAAGTTCTGAAATCCCCGGGAAGGGGCCACATTTCCTGGAGCTTCACTGCTGGGAATGTGGAGTGGCTCCTTTCCAGAGAACTTCCATCCCTCCTCGCAGGAGAACATCCAGGAAGGAAAAGGATCGTTAATGCCGCGTCCTGGGCAGGAATAAAAACAAATTATCCCAGTAAATGGTTTTCAAATGGAATGCCCCTTAGCAGGGAAGCTTTTTTTTTTTGGATAGTTGGAAAAATCGTGTCAAAATCTTGTTGGAAAAATTCCATGATTGGCTTCTTGAAGCTGGAGACCTYTGCCTCTGAGGAAATTGGTATTTAGTGGGGAAATGCTCAGTGTTGGTTGTGCAAGGATATAACAATGGGTTGTAAACCTCAAAAATTGTGTTTAAATATTGATTTAAAGTTGGTTTTATGTTATTTGTATTTCAGGTTGTTATTAGATCAGAAAGTGTGGATGAAAGAGAATTGAGTCAACATTTATTGTCTATAAAAACAGAGTAAAAAATGCTTTTGCTTGTTGCTGAGGAGTTGAGAGTTTAAAAGGTCATTCCTGACCCAAATTGTGCTGTGAAAAAGAGAAATTATAGAAATTTGTATAATTGTAGAAATCCAGTCCGTCCAAAGGAAAATAGGGCTGGAAAAAGCAGATAATGCAGGGAAAATGGGATTGAGTGTTTGTGTGCTCCAGGATGAGAAGGGTGGAAAATGAGCACAGAGGANTGATTTTCTGTCATTATTATAATAATGCAATATAATATAATAATGTAATGTAATAATAATAACAATAACTGATAATCATAATTAGAATAGAATAGACTAGAATAGAATAATAACAGCAAAAATAAGAATAATAGCCACAATCATCATGACAAATAAAATATAATGTAACATAATGTAATATGATGTAATGTAATATAATAATAATAGCAATAACAATAACCATGATGATCATAAATAGAATAGAATAGAATAGAATAATAACAATAAAAAAATAATAACTGTGATAGTCATGATAAATAGAATGTAATATAATATAATGTAAATAATCATGATAATAAGAATAGAATAATAACAACAAAAATAATAATAATAACCATGATAATCATGATAAATATGATGTAATATACTGTAAATAATCATATAATAATAAGAATAGAATAGAATAGAATAGAATAATAACAATAAAAAATAATAACTGTGGTAATTATAAATATAATATAATATAATACAATGTAAATAATCACAATAATAATGATGGTAATAGTAGAATAGAATAATAACAAAAATATCAATAATAATAACCATGAGTATCATGATAATAATAATAACAATAACAAAAATTATAATAATTAGAATAATAGAATAGAATAGGTTAGAATAGAGTAATAATGATAACAATGGAATAGAATAATAATGATAACCATGACCACAATGAGAATAATAATAACAACAACAATAATACAAAAAAAATGAAAATAATAATGAAAAGTTATAATAAAACTGATAATAGTAAAAATAATAATAATGAAAATATGATGATAGTGATGATGATGATGATGATAATGATGATGATGATGATGATGATGATGATGATAATAATAATAATAATAATAATAATAATAATAATAATAATAATAATAATAATAATAATAATAATAATAATAATACCACCTGATTTTCCCCTCCCCTGGCAGTATCTCAACGTGAAAGAAGACTGCAAAGCCATGGCTTTCTGTGCAAAAATGAGGAGCAGCAAGAAGAACGAGCCGAGCCTGGAAGCTCAGCCCCAGGGCCTGG